GCGTTCAGTTCTACATTAGAACAATATTCTTTCGAGTATGGAATGCAGTTTGGGGACTCAGTAGACGGTTGTCTTCTGTCCACGACGCAATGCGTTCTGTACGTTTTGGTAGCTTTACTATGCTTATTATGCCATAATGACGACTGACGTTAGACCATACCAGAAGTTTATCATGATATAAAAATAACGCATCTATCACCCCATAGATGTATCATTTATTGGCTAGTCATATACTGGCTTCTAAAATAGTGAGTCTTGAATCTATATTAATGAGTATTCACCCTTTTTTAAGCTGATTGAAAGTGTGTGGCCTGTGAGGTCTAACGAAACACTATCACTGATGTCACTGGTGCATCGTTTGTAATGCACTTATTACTCCAGGTTTGGATTGGCCTTTTGTGCTGATTCTGAGACAAGGGCTCATTCCAATTTTGCAGCTGGAAGAAGCCGAACCTAGCCAAAAAGTCGATTATAGGTGTACCTTGAAGTTGTCTGCTCAGTGACTAGAGGTAAATAATGTATGGAAGGTTCATCGAGCGAGCGGTGGCAGAGGATAACAAAGAAATTTCTCCATGCATATTTACTATACTCTGTGTCAAACGTTTTGGTAGTTATGTAATGCAGGTCAGCCACTGTGGAATTTCTTTCTCCCAGTGTGGTTTAAGTCTTCTACGCTTTGGAGTTGTTTTTTATTACTGTGACAAAGTTGCATCTAACATGCCCCCATTTCTAGGTTTCACTCAAAGCGAGGTCGGCGTGGCGATGGGTCTCCTGTATGGGACCGATTTCTCTCAGACGACCATTTCGCGATTCGAGGCGCTGAACCTCAGTTTCAAGAACATGTGTAAACTGAAACCGTTGCTTCATAAATGGTTGGAGTTCGCTGATCAGAATTCGAAAAGTGGCATGTATCTCCAGGTATGTCTGTTGTTTTCGATTGCGTTTTTTACTATTGTTCACTGATACCTGGTCTTCACAAGAAAAGCGAGTAAAGCTTTTATAAAAGCAACACAGCGTTAGCATTGCATTGCCTTAAAATGAAATGAAATAAAAGTATATGACCATAGGAATGTCGGTCTTCCTTACACCTTGATAATGGTACCATTTCTGGTGTTCTCGTGAACTTAATGATTCAGTGGTGATCTCAATTTCCATACCATCAGCCAGAGTGCCTTATTTTAAAGGCAGAATCTGCATTCATGTGACAAGCATGGCGTGTAATCTCCTGTTTCCTTCCCACAGTGTGATACTCATTTATTAAGCTCACAGGGAAAATGGTGATTGATGTTGCTCAGGACTTGAGGTTTGAATCTGTCGGTTCTCAGTTTGAAGCTTTACCGACTGAGCAACCCCGGTTTTAAAATGAGCTTAAAATCTAATTATGGCACTTGGTGATTAAGGAAATGTTTGCATATGAACTTTTCTTTTGAAGAGGGTACATAAATTGCTTAACTGGGATAACAGCAAAGAATTACCATGTTTATGATAGTTTGTTTTATTTGAAGTTGCCACCATTAGACAAGTTGGAGCACATCAGCAAATTGCTTGAATTTATAGAGCAAGACAAGCCTTGACTCGTTGATTTGCTTTCTAGAATTGCGACACAAGGGTAACAACAGAAACAAAACCATTCGTCGAAAAATTACTAGTAGTTTTCAGTTATTTGTCAAAATCAGTTAATCTGAGGTTGATTAAAATAAGATTTTAGTTTTATCTATGTCGATTGATGACTCAGCTGCGGTATCTCTAAGTGTGGATTGTGAATTTTCTTTACTTCTGGAACGATGTTTTGCTATGAGGGGATGAAATGGAGGCATCAGCTGTTGTATGTTTTCTGTCTGCTAGGTCATTGGGCGAGTGACGAACGGCAGATTCCGCTACATGACCATCTACGTGATGTATGATTCGTCGTACTTCTAACTCTGGCTATTATTTTGATGGTAACGCCGAAGCGCTTTAAGATTTGTCACCATCATCGTTGCGGAATAAATCGCGATTGATTGTGATTGCAGGAATCATATATCTTGCCAACGAAAAATGATGCATATTTTTACATCTTGGAATTTCGCTGAATAATGGCATTTGTTCGTTGTTGCCACTTACAAAATCTGCCGTTTCAAATCAAGAGAAAAGCAGAGAGACATGCAGCTGTGAACGTGTATGATCATAACAGCTGTGGTTGGTATGTGGAGTCACCGTCACATGACAAACGAGAGAGCCAGTGCTTGAATATTTCTGTAGTTGCACCGTTCAACATTAACGAAACACCTGGCTAAACCCTTGAAACCGATTTGTCCTCAGCGGGCATGGCTTATAAAATCCTCTAAATTTCTCTGAATGCACATAGACCTACTAAACATGCCTATTCTTTGTACAGAGAGGTAACGCATGTTGGAAGTTTAGTAAATGTAACAATGGTGATAAGTATTAAAGTTATCTTTCTGGTTATCAATCGGGCGAGCATTTTCCTCACTACATCAAAGGAAAATTTGGCTTCATAACCTATTCAACTGCCTGGTAGATTGGCGATGTGGCACGTTATCAGGAAATTCAATACGGTCGTCAAGATTCAGAGTTTGGCTGTCGAATCAGCGGTTTGAAATTGCTGACTCATATCGGCAGAGGCGATGTACGGAAAGGGCTGCTATTGCATTGAAGTGACATTACGCAGAACGAGCGCGTGATCGTGCATTTCTCTTAAGAGATCAGATCACTTTCAGGGAATTAAGCTGTCAATCTTTTAATCTGTTCTTTGTCCACTTTCCAGTAGTTCTTTTACGTTTACGTCCATGTTTACCATTCTGCGTCCATTTTTGCATCGTCTCGAAATTTTCCTTTGGCTTATAATTGTTTGCCTCGATTGATTTTACGTTATTTCATTTTCTATGCGGTCTTTCTGCGTTTCTCCAAACGACCCGTTAGTGGACCAATTTATTATCCAGTGTTCTGTATGGCGCGTTCCTGATTTTGCGATGATTTTAAGTGGTTGTTGACTAGGCTGAATTTTTCAATTCTTGTCTTTCGCACTACTTATACCGGCCCTTGTTTCTTTTTTTGCTTTATCTACATTGAACTGAAAGAATACCGCCGAACCGTGTACCGGCGTAATCCCTGATTCAGTTGACAGAAATCTGAAAGTGACCAGTTTCAGCTCGAGTTTTTCGTTTCACTGCTTAGTCTTTATTCCTTGATCATCTTTCAACAGAGGCCTTCTTTTTATTGTTCGTCCCATAAATGCTAAATCATGGGTTGAAGTGAGTTTACTTGACCTCATTGAGCAAACGACCTCTTTTGTTAGTAACTACTTTCTTTTCTTTATCTTTCTGTTCATTCAGTATTATGCGCTTCAAGTACCGGGTAAACAACAACCGGTTGCCCACTTGACAAACTCTCATTGAACGACTTGCGCCTAGTATTTCTGCTCGTTTTCTTTCCTTGTCGCATTCCAACATCATAGAGGTTCCATGTTGGGCTACTGCCGCTTATGCGGTGTCTCTATGTGATAAGTAATTTTAACGTTATGTTTTTACTGTCTTCCTCAGATTGAGGTTTCACCCCGTTTGAAATATATGCATTAGCATCTCTGTGTTGGAAGGAAGAAGACGAATTTGCCCTATAGTGGCCACTAAATTGCGCATATTGCCTTTGGGAAAGTAGGATTGTCCTGATTGATAGCACCAAGACAAAGGTTGGTATCATCACGTAATTTCCATGAAATTTTTAATTTGAAACTTCCCTCACGGAAGTGTAGTAGAGGTCAACATCCCAAAGGTTTGGAATTTTTTTAATTTCCAATTTTTCCAAAGTTTGGATTCGGTAAATAAAAGAGTCTGAACAAGTCAGAGTTTAAAAAATTACATCGGAAATGCAGTTTCATTAAAAAGAGTAATTTAATGATTATCGAGTCATAAAAATTTCATGGCTGTAGACAGACGCTATTAGGTGACCTTATTGAAAGCCTATTTTTCAGTCGACGTTTCAAACCAGTCAGATCATGCTGTGACCAGAAATGAAAAAAACTGACGGGGTTGGTTCCTCCTGCAGTTTATGGCACTTTTAGTTTATTTCTTTAGGAACTTAATGATGCTATTTCGATCTGTTTTTCGATACCGCTAACTAATTATTGGTGTAGCACAGTTATAAGTGCATTATTAGCCGTATTTGTCGTCTGACTACTGGTACCCCTAACCGTCTAACGTACTGGTACACCCAGATTGATGAAATTAACTGCCCGTAACGGAAGTCGGTCGTTCTATTGTCATTTTTGTTTCCCACGGATTGATGTATCACGCTGCAATCGCTCCAGATAAAAT